CAAGCAAGAGCACGGTGGTCTTTTGACCCACCACTCCCTCCCAACCACCGTGGTCTGGCAAAGGCCTTGTGTCCGCTCTTACATGTGTGCGACAAGGGTCGCATGCATCGCTATGCGTGTTGTATACGACAGCGCGCCGACCCCCATACCAGTCAGGGCTTCGTAGTGAAAAAGAAGGAGTGCGTGCATCGTGTGCATGTTGCCATGTCAGAGTGTGCGCATGCTTATTTCAAGTTTATGGAATGATTGAAATTTTTACTTCAAGCCTTTGGAGATAAGGGCTCCAGCCCTTTGAGGCTAGCCATGCGAAGCTGTGGCTCTTGTAAGAAGGTGTTCTTTGACACACCAGGATGTCGGAATGTGCTAAGGCTGCGTGGCCTTCGTGACATTGCTCGGGCTCGTCATCACGTTTTCTGGCAATTCGTGCCGAGCTTTGCCGAGTGGCCGTTGTTTGGTGGCGGGCTGACCTTTTGCAAATCAAATGGCCTCCAAGGGTTGCCGCTGCCTCCCTCTCCCTGTCATCGCGGACAGTCTCACGCAGGCGGAGCGGCGGAAGCGCTGGCAGTAAAGTGTGGTAGCATGGCATGCTACTGCTACGACATGGTATACAGTGTGTCTCACACCCGCAGGTTGAACCTCATGGAGACGCACGCAGACCATGTGCATGCTGAAGGACCGGCACTAGGCTGGCAGGGTCAAGGTGAGAGTTGCTCAGCAAAAGAAGGCTGCCCAAATGCCTTGCCTGACAGTAGTCAGTGCTTTCAGCATGCCTGCCAAACACAATGCAAGACAAAGCAAGCAAGCAGAGGTGCAGAAGCTTAAGGAGTCCAGGCAAAGTGTAGCATCTGGACCCGAACCGTCTCGAGTACTCGAAGCTGGTCTGTACAGAGGCGTAGCCGTAGCTTGTCCCACTTGGATGCATCGGCAGGATTCTCGGACGACGGTGACTTGGAGGATTGCCGAACGTGACTTCGTAACGAGCTGAGCGGTCGAGCTTCGTCGACTCGCTCCATGGACAGGAAGTTGGTGAGGTTGCGCTCGAGCTCCCTCTCCGTGTCCATGGACCCAGGTTCGCTCCGACGGGCCTCTGGTTGTTGCATGCTGTCGGGGAACTTCTGTCTCTCGCCAGGTAGCATCCTACGCGCATCTGCGTTGCTCGCAGAGACGCCTAGTGGCCTAGTGCTCTCTGTTTCACATCGGCCTGCGGCCCTGCTCAGCGCGAGCCTGGGCCTCCCGAGCCCCGTCCTCTCGCTTTTGATTGGCGCTGTTGGCCAAAGTGCTAGCAGCTTGCACGACAGCTCAGTGATGACATTAATCGACGGCTCAGGACACTTTGAGTGCTCAAGGTACTCGAGAATTGCCGGTGGCTGGTGGATTGAAGTCGTTCGGCAGCGTGAGTTTTCACCACTCAGGACAAGTTAATGGAAGCAGTCCACCTTGTGTGCCAGCCGCTTTGGTGTAATAACGTTCTGAAAGCTGCTGCTGAGAATGCTTTCTCTAGCGGAAGCTGTTCCCACCTTTTTCAAGGTCAAAGACCGGAGCCTCAGCAATGCATTTTCCGTCTAGAGAGTTTCATCTGTCCATAGTCTCCGCTCGACATCTCCGCCTTTGGTGCTTATGCATCGGGTGGCAAGCAGGTTGTGAGTGTTTTGCTGCACTGTTGCTGCTCATAGCAAAAAGCACAACATGATAACTCATAAGTCCTCATACTGGGAGGATGGGACCGTGCAGAGCCAACTCATGCAAATGCTGGCTTCACCGCATTCCACGATCAGCTTGGCTCGCAATACCTGTATATTTTATGCATTTGTTCTGGTGGCGTCTTTACCCAGAAGGCCAGTCAATCGGCTTGCTGTGCACAGGATTTCTGAGTGTGGCGACTGCCAAAGCGCAAGATCACAGGCAGGCAGCACAGCTTGCGCTGAGACGAGCAAGCCGGAATGGCCTCTTGGCTTCATTTGTCCCGACCTTCTGAGCTACCATGCAGCAGCACTCCAGTTGAAGCCTCTCGGTTTGTTGACTGATATTCGCTGTACGCGCGAGAGAGAGACACTAATGCTTAGTTTCACGGAGGCCGAGCCGATAAAGCCGGCACTGGTACAGAAAGGGGCGGTCAAGGTCTCATGACTCACAACAGCTTGACTTCTGACAGCCATGCTCATACACTCACATTCGTCTGATTGCGTTTTAGCTGCAGGATCCCTCACAGAAGAAGAGGGTTCAACTGCAAGCTCCTCTCAAGCCTGAAGAGGACAGGTCCACGGAGCAATGAACTGGGATAGTGACGTGCACCTGCTCTGCTAGGAGGGCGAAGTGGACATCCCGCTTATCGTGACAGACATACAATCTCATGCGCAAGAGATAAAAGCGCTATCGAAAGAGATCAAGGAGCCACAGCCGAAGCCACTGAGCGTCACAACAAGTCACGCGACTGCGACAAGTCCGGAGAACAAAACCCTGCAAGAGCAGGTTGAACAGTAACTCGGCATGCACAGCTGTGTGCATTTGTCAACGAAGTCAGATTAATGGGCATGGCATTTTGGCTCGGGCTCCGCTGAGGCTGGAAACTGGCCTTGCGCGGTGCGTGGCTGATTTTCGTGCTCAGGCAGAAGAGGCCTCCCTGCGTCGCCTGCGTGTCGTCAAGACTGTCATGTAAGCTCACGGATCGGTGTCACGGCAGGTGCTGATGAACCACCTTGACAACCTTGAAGAAGTGCAGTTGGCGCATGAGTTCGAGGCCATAGATGGAGTATGTCCTCTGCTCGTGAAGAGCGAAATCTCGCTGTGCGAAGGTCGCGAACTTGATGGCAGAAAACATGCTGCTCCGCGAAAAGCTAGGCCTCAAGTCGACGGATCAAGTACGAGATGCGAGAGACTCAGTGCAAGCCAAGTCCTTTGCGTCTCCCCTGCTGTTTTGCGCTACCGGTGTATTCCAAACCAACTAAATCGGCGGGTCAAGGTGATGTTTCAAAACATAGTCCCTGAGCCCAAAAAGAAGCCGCGACGTGGACAGAGGAGCAGCGCTTCATGGAATCGCGAGCATCATGTCGTGGCTTAGCGTTTGCGCCCCGGCAGGAATCAGTTCCAGGACGAAGAAGAATCTGGACCGCAGTCCTTCAAGCAGAAGCAGGATGAGAAGGGATTCCCTCCCCCTCCCGGCTCGTGACCAAGAGGGTGCAGCGTGAGTGTCATGCTATGGAACCTAGTCAGCCGACCGAGGCCATCAGCAGCAAGGCCGGAACCAGAGAAAGGGAGGGAAGAACCAACCGCCTGGTGGGAGCTGGCAAGCCTTCATGGCGTGGGTTCCCAACGGTTCTGCTATGCAGAGTCCTGCCTGCATTCTGGATTGGCTATCCCTCGTCCAAGAAGTTGCCACTCCATTGTCCGTTGTCCTCGAGTGCAGGCTTCAGGGGTTCTGCCAAGGGTGGAGCACTGGTGAGAAAGACCTGCGGATTAGATGTTTGGTGTGCAGCTTCTGGGTGAGTATAGGATTTACCCGGATCCTTGAGTTTCAAGGCTTGTTACCGGTCGGTGCATCTGGCAGCTGTCGAGCAGAAAGATCCTGCCTGCATCCGAGGAATGCGGAGCCGTGGAAGCCCCTTCCACAGCCCGACATTGCGCAAGCACAGACTCCGCAAGCGCAGGGCAAATCGAAGAAAGAGATGCTTGACTGCCCAAAGCAACCATTCTGCGATAGTCGTGGCCAGCTCGTGTGCATGATTCATGTCTTGCTAGTGAGCCAGTGCTGTAGCACCCCATTCCCAAAGGAAAAAGAATCCGACCGGGTCAGATCAGCTGGCTCCGACCTGAGGGGCTATGCCCAGCTGACGCACAGCAAACGTGTAGCAAACACATCACAGCCTTGAGCCCAACCGAGTCCGTGATCCCTGGCGTGCCCTCGGAAGACAAACGGAAAGATGACGATGATGACTCGGATAGTGACAGTGGAAGAAGCACCTTGGCATATCTTGGCTACAGCCAGAGCGTTGGTGTGCCTCGTGCCCCTCAGCATTTTTCCGAGATGCTCATTCTTTGAGTACTACCATTCCAGATTCTAGATCCAGATACGCTATGCAAAGGTAATTTGGCCGGAGAGGAGCAGTATGAAATGCTTGAGGCAAGGCTGTGCATGTGAAGCTCGCACAGTGACATTGTCTGTCGGCAGGTCTGGAAAGCCTCATCCAAGCAGATGAAGAAGTTCAAGCGTGGTAGCCATGGAGAAACTGAGAGCTCTGTTCCTTTCCGACTCTTTGGCTGCGTTTCATGTCTTGCCTTCAAGCTTCAAACTTAAAGAATGCAGATCGCACATTTTTGTTGAAACAGGTGAGGAAGAAGACGAGTATCAGGAACAACCGCCACATGGCTGGATCCTGAACCCGGACTCAAACATACGGATCTCCTGGGATCTTGGGAGCTTGGTGATGGTGCTCTATGACATGGTCATGATTCCCATGCAGGCATACACTTTGCCCGATAACATCTTCCTTGACTTTATGGAGTGGTCCACAAGACTTTTCTGGACCTTCGATATCTTCTTCTCCTGCATCACAGGTGTTGTCATGACGGATGGCTCCGTTGAGTACAATTTGAAGATTATCTTAAAGCGATACGCAAGAACCTGGCTGACACTTGATCTGATGATCGTGGTTTCTGACTGGGCCGAAGTGATCTTCTCAACAGGGAGTATGGAAATGATAAACTTGGCGCGCAGCACGCGCATCATTCGAATCGTCCGATTGCTTCGGCTTGTCCGTATGCAGGAGATCATGGCTAATGTGACTGAGCGCATACAATCTGAGACCCTCGGACCAATGATTCAGGTCGGCAAGGTTACCGTCGTGCTGCTGACGATTTCACACTTCACGGCATGCCTTTGGTTCAGCGTCGGCAATCGCGCTACAACTGAAAATACTTGGGTAAAAATTGAGAACTACGAGACTGCTGGCGTTGATGCTCAGTATTTGGCTTCTCTGCATTGGGCCTTGTCGCAGTTTTCAGGCTTGGAACAGTTGCTTGATCGGCCACGCAGGTGCCTGTTTCAGAGTTAGCGATGAACCCTGCAGGCGGTATGGATGAGATCACGCCTGCCTCGTCCCTGGAACGGCTCTTCGCAGTGGGCATAGGCAGCTGCGACGCAATCATCTGCAGTGCCTTTTCGCAGTGAGGGGTACCCGATGCAGCCGAGGAACCATCATCTTCGTCGTCGCTCTCGTGATGATGGGCGTCTTCACCTCCGGCCTCACGCAGCAGTACATTATCGGAGGCAGTGGAGCCCGTCAGCTCGCGACGTTGAAGCGGTACCTGAAGCAGAACAACGTCTCAAAAGTCATTACGAAACGAGTGTGCCGAAATGCCAAGCATGCAATCTCAGGGGACTTGACCCCGGAATCTGTAGAATTGCTCCAAGTCATTTCCGAGCCGCTGAAAGTTGAGCTGGCTTTCGAGCCTTGGATTCTGGATGCTTCAATGTCAGTGCAATCGCAAGATCGCCTCTGGCCCAAACCCGAAGGCACATCCTGCCAGCCGAGGACATGTATTCTCAGGTCCTCATGTGGCAGCCCTTTTTCCTGGAGCTGCTTTCGGAGAGCTCGCCGATCATGAAACCGATCTGCCACAGAGCACGGACCTTGGTGTTTTCTTAGATTGTACCGGGCCTGTGCGACAATAAATCCGGTGCCGGCCTGTGCTTTGTTTCTGCGGCCTGTGGCAGGCGATGTCCATGCTTCTCCTCTCCAGTACCGACATTGTCTTCAATTCGGGCGAGGAGCCGGCAGAACCCAAAATGTATATTGTTGTATCAGGTAGCCTGGAGTACACGGACTCTTATGGAGAAGTGGCCCCAGCTGCTGGCCTTCATAGTAGTTGGGCTCAGTTTTGCCGATGAGCTTGATTCGCCATAGTTGGTCATTAACTGGGCGTTTACCCTTCGTTCCACATTCGATCCTCATGGGGATAGCGAGTGGGATGGTAAAAGTGCATCGATGCCGAAAGCAAGGTCGGAGAGAGGCGGTACCTGGCTGAAGCTGTTTTGTGGACACATTGGAAGCACCGTGGAACCTTGACTGCTGTGAGTGATGCCAAGCTGGCAATGCTGCTTGGCATGTCCCATATTATGGGTTCTGGACTGTTTTCTATCTCCGCGCATGTCAAGCAATGCCACTCTCTTCTGGTCCAAGGCTTGATGCACAAGGCTTCCGTGACATTTGTCAGCGATTTATGAGAAGAAGCGAGGCGGCGTTGAGGACCCTTGCCTTTTCAACGCACCTGCAGCATCTTGTGGAAGTCGAACTTTCTGCGTCTTTGTTATGGCGGGGATGGGGAAGGCTGCAAAGGTCAAAAAACCATGCCGCATGAACGCATGACGTGGCGTGTCTGTTCTCAGCAGCACGCCCCAGATAAGACACACTTCAGACTGCGACATCCCTCATGAGGATCGTTCGATACGCCTCTGACTTCGTAGATGAGCTGAACAAGCAAGAGTTCAAGTCAGATCTGGGCAAGTGATTCGGTCGTCGCACAGCTCGTGCGGCGGGCCAGATCCAGATGCTTCGCAGAGCTCAGACTGTTGTCTGTACAGACGGCGCTTTCTGAGTGGCGAAGATGCGTGTTTGGGCTTGGAATAGCCTGGCCCGAGACACTCACGTTTTTTTGCTGCCCGAACCACGATTGCCGACAGCCTGGCAGAAATTGCTTGCTGTGGCAGCCGCGGACTGAGGTGCACACACCAAGTGTGGAGATGTCCACAGTCGGTTTTAGGGTTTTGGAAGAGTTGCGGGTCGAATATTCGAAGTGAAAATAGTGCCACATTGATTGTTCAAGTAGTTTGCGCACATGCTGAATGTGCAGTCTCACTTAATTTTTTGGCTGCCCGAATTGATCTTTCGAAAAGATCAGCTTCGCTCCATGCCACCAGGGCACTGCCCGCCCGGTTCCCTTTCATGGCACACACTGATCGTTCAACAATTCTTCCAGCAGTGCTTCACGAAAGGGACCGGCGCATTATGTGGCTGCAGCTAGTGCCTTGAGCCGACATTTACGGAATGAGAACTGTTTCGTGATCGCGAGTATAAACAAGCCAGCAACAGATCTGACTGTGGTGCAGCAAGCCACTGCAACTTGGTGCTCCTCAGGCTTCTCATCCGGTGCTTTCGCCACAGCTGTCAAGTGGTTCAGGTACAATGAATTCGACATGTGTGCATGCCTTCGGCCTCGACTGCAAGCGGCGCTGCTTGCAACTTTCTAGATGGGCCCATCAAAGCAGATGCTAGAGTGGCCGCCGGAAGATCAAGATGAGACAGATCGCATTCAATTGCTGGGTCAGCTAGCATTCGATCTAACGGTCCGCCTCTTAGTATTCGATCATGCGAAGCAGGCGTGCAGCATGAGCAGAAGCAGGGGCATAGTGGTAGCGAGACATGTCAGTTTTCGCATCTGAGGACGCAATCGGCCGGGATGGATGGTGTTGCATTCACATGAACGATGATGCCTTGGTGCGGGATGCTGCCATCTCTGAAGCCAGGGCACTTTCCAACTTCGCACCTCTTCAGACAGGGCAGTTGTAGGTTTGAACTCAAAGAGCAGGAGCTCTGAGGGGGTGTCTTGCGAAGAGTCGAATCTTGTGGTACGTTCGCCCTGGTTGAGTCCGGAAATGCTGTAGCTAAGCATGCTCGCTGCTTGTCGGCTTTCCGGCGCTCTGCGACACGCAGCCAGGCAAGTCCACGTGCCGAGCTGATGTCGGACTACTTTGGAGAGGATGGCACTGGCAAAATGGCGACCTTCCAAGACTCTGCCAGGAACAGCGCCTTGCCCGCAGATGCTGCGGCGTGGTATGTAGACACCTTAACGGCCTTCGAAAGTCACCGACATGAAAGCACAAGCAAGGTGATGCTGCCTGGGCATTGTCAGAGTTAGATGCCGAGCTGACGGCTTTGTGCAAAGTCCTAGCACCGCTGTCGACTCAAGCGCTGGGCTTCACTTGCGCCGGGCGGCGAAAAGGCATGGTTTGGATGCCATTTGCAGACTCTGAGGAGTCCAGCAGGCTCCGTCCGCAGCCTCTGACTGAAGAGGACTTGATTCGAAACGCTAGATGTAGTTTTGACGTTCCGATTCTGCTTGAACCAACAGGAATGTTGCGAGTGGGAGTGAACAGAACAGGTGGTTCACTTGTGCACTTGTTGGATCTTGTTGGTGTAGCTGTTTTGCCAGCTGGCGACGAGCACGGAACCAAAGTATGCACGACATAGAAGACTTTGAATCTGAAGCATGGCACCAACAATCTCAAAAGTGAAAGGCCTTGTCGCAATCATAAATAGCATCCGCAAAAGCTATATACCTACGGCTTTACTGTGGAAGACCCCGGAAGTACCCGGTTTTTTGGGAGCGCAATTCATTGTGCAACCACATGATGTGGGGTCCAGGTCGAGAGGGGAATTGGGGGGCTTAAATGCGCTTGGCCCACGCACAAGATCAGCTTGCAACGCTGAGTTGAGCTGACACTCTTTGTTGACATGCTTTGTTTTGTAGGCATGTGCCAACAGATGAACTGATGTACTTGTAAAGCTATGGATAAAGTTGATCATTTCAGAAGGCATTTCGGGCTTTTGGTAAAGTATTTAGTCAAGGATGTTTCAGGTTGCATTCAAGACCTGCCCATTCAGTGATTTGTGATTGATCGCGAGCTGTGGAAGTCTGTTGACGGCAGTGCGGTGCGGACAGGATGCGGATGCGGGTGTCCTGGACAATCATTTACAGTTTATACAGAGAAGAAGGTTGTGCTTCATGCGCTGGATTGCCAACGATGGCGGTGTGCTGGAGCTCCTGCCACGCCCAGATCAAAGTGCATATAAGGCAATGACACTTCCAATTGTGCAAAATCGCTTGCTGGTGTTTCGGAGCGATTTGTTCAGCTTCTCTTACAAGCCAATTGGAAAGGATTCTGTGGCACTAATGACATGGATTCTTGACACCGGGTCACAGGCTGAGAGACAAACTGCAAAAGGTTTCTTTGGCGTGGATGATGCACTGCAACATTCTGAAGCTCTCGGGATATTCGTGGGACCTCCTATGCCCACAGGTTATAGAATGCACATCATGGCCATGCATGCCCACGTGCCGGGCGGAGCGCAAGACTTGGACGGTTTTGAATGTATGCTGACATCTGGCGTTGACGGTTTCATTCACATTCCGGCTACAAGGTTTGACACTGAGATTTATTGCTGTCCAGAAGGCGAAAAGCTTCCTGGCCAAAGTTATGTGAGGCATGCGGCCATGATGTCCGACCAGGAGCGGGGCCAAGTGGCGGAAAGCTACTACAATTTTGAGTTCTTTCAGGATAGGGGCGGGCTTCGCAGGCTTTGCAGTTTGCGGTCTGCCCGTCAGGAGATCACCTGCTTCGACAACAATTTCTTCGGAATTCGAGAAGATGAAGTTAAAATGATGGCGCCGAACCAGCGGCTCATACTGGAGGATGGTTATGCGTGTCTGCGGAAGCCCAGCCTGCAAGTGGCAGCTCAACACACGAAATCCTCCAGGGTAGCCGAGTAGCTCTGCTTCTTCTTTGTTCTAACTTAAACTTAGGAAAGCTGGATTTGATCGCAAATCGCTTGTGGGTCGCAGCACAGCGGCCTTCCTGGGTGATACCGGCTGCGATTGGGATCCCTTCTGGCAGATCAAGGTTCTTGAGAATCCTCTGAATCCTGGCCGTCCCGTTCCGTGGGGAAACTGCGAGGGCAATCATCTGACCTACGGCCAAAGCCTTACTTACTCTTAGTTGTGGCGGTTCAGTCTTCATCACTCAGAACTGATTCAGAGCGAGAGATGCAGAGCAGGGGAAGCAGGATCAACATGCTGCAGCGCCGGAGCTCTGCTTGCACACTTCTTCACGCTCTGGTAGATGGGGTGTCAATAGCATTTGCCGTCCCATTCATTGATTCCACCACCTCGCCCATATCTTGCAAGAGGTGGGCAAAATCTAGTCGAACTTAGCAGTAGAGTAAACCCCAGAAAGTTGGAAACCGGATTAAGGACAATTCGTGCTGGGATTCCTTATACATCGCTCTTGAGGATTGAGGCTATTGGGTTTCCAACTTTTGGGCTTCTACTGTACAGTAATGCTTGTGTTTCGAGGTGGCAAGCAGAGACGTTCTCGGCAACAAGCCCGGTCGTGCATGCACCAGCACGGGTGGGGCCACACTCCTGCATTCTCCACGAAACAATCAACGCGACACAGCAAAACATACTGCTTGCCTTCACGTAGCTCTTTGCGAACTACGAAGGAAGAAAGAATCCAATCCTACCCTTGAGAGGAGAATGACTCGAGGGCGAATTCCACAGCAGAAAGAGGCTTTTGCCGCAGTGGCACGCAGAATGGAGTCTAGCAAGAACAAATGGCCAAAGATGGGCTTTTCGTGTAGCTGATGCGCTTAGTGGCCTGGTGCTGCTGCATGTGCGTGTGCTCTTCACAATACCAGCCCCGTGCGACCGTGTATCTTTCAGCTTGGACCTTGGACCTTAGAATAGGCTACCCTTTTGCTGACATGTCGAACACTGCAGGGTGGGCGGAAGGCAGGGACAATGCATTTCCGTTTTCAAGCAGGCATTCGAGGGGTTCGAGAAACTGGATTTGTTCAGGAAGGTATCAGGCAGCACTCGAGTCCGGACAAGAAGACGGAGGTATACCCAAGCAGTGCGACAAGACAATGGGGTCTAGCGGTTCGATCGCCGTCCGGGTCCGTGAATCTCCCACCGAACTGTTTGGGTTGCTTTACATTTGCCAATCGTGCAGCTGCCGTGCACATGTTGGGCTGCCAGCAATCTTCCCACCACAGTGAGCTTCCGGCACACTGCCATGGATTTTTGGTTGGGACTCGTGTTTCTGCCTCCTAGACCGTGCTCCCGCCGCAGTCCCGTTCTGGATGTCATGCTCCTGCCGCAACGGAAATCTCCCATCTCAGTGTGGTCCAACATTTTGGAGCTTTTTGTTAGGGTGGCGTTGGGAGCCTCAGCCGTGTCTTTCGGTATGCAGAACGTGGAGGGTTGGTGTAGGTTCGCTATTACGCTGGGCAAAATTTGCAGCCTGATGCAACCTTTATCGTTTGTCTGTGTTCCGACCAAGGTGGAGTGTCCAAGGCGGTGTCTGCAGGAAGGCTGTCGCACATTTTTGGACTGCGCGGCGGCTCCACAAATATCGACACAGCTTGTTCTGCCTCGCTGGTCGGTGTCTCCACCGCAGTGCAGGCCATGAGGAGGGCTGGCGGTGGACAGGTCAAGGCGGTCGCGGACAAGCACAACTTGGATGCTTTGTGCATGGGCATCAACATGCTCACGAGCCCTTATGCATTCATCGGTCTCTGTGGCCCATCTATGCTGGCGGCCAAGGGCAGGTGCTTCACCTTCGATGTTAGTGCAGAGGGTTATGCACGAGGAGACGGATTCGGAGCTGTTTACATCAAGCCGAGCGACAATGATGAGGACTACCTCAAGCAGCGACTCGAGCCAACTTTGCACAGGGACTCGATTTGCCCTTTAGCCCCGACCCGTAGTTCCGGTATGGGGCTCGTAGGATCCGCATCTCATGATTTCTGCAGCGTCAATGAAGATGTCCGCTTCGGTCAGTGATTCGGTGCAGGTTTTCGCTCCATTCGTGCTTGATGTTTCTGTAGTGACAGATTGAACTGACAAGAAGGCTGCTGGCCGGCGTCGTTCTTTTGCAGAACCTTCAGGGGGCTAAAGGCTAAAGTCGGCCTGGCACCGGCTCATTGGACAATAAACTGTCACACGCTCCGCGGCCCGGCCCCATGGTCCAAGATGCCCCGCCGCCTGCGGCGTGGCACTGTTCCCCCTGTGGGGTGGTTGTGGGGTTTTGGGGTTAGGGTTTAGCTTGAGCTTCTGAGTTTAGGGTTTAGGGTTAGAAGGTAGAAAGGTTTCGAGTCGAAAAGGGCTTAGGGAGGGTTTGGGGCGTAGATTCGTTAGGGTTGATGGTTTTTTTTTGTGCTTTACTTTCAGAGCCTGCATTTAGGCGGGGTTTAGGGTTGGGTCTTGGCTTAAAGTACAGGTTAAGCTTACTAAAAAGGAGCATGCATACGTTAGAGGGTTTGTGGCTTGCGGGCTGCGTGGCCCTCTCTGCGACAGGGGCCGCCCCCGAGCAGTGCCGGTGCAGCTTCCCCCACCCCTACCAGACAATATTATTGCGGGTGCGGGGGAAAGTCCGGGGGGGGGCGAGAACGCCAGACGCCTGAACGGAGCCTGGATGTGTCTGGGCCTGGGCATTTTGGCATTGGGATCGAAGCAAACTTAAGAGTACTGGAGTTCATGTTGATCAAACCTGGCGAGGCTTTGCTGTTTGATGGGCGCCTACGTCAATCAAGATGGTCGAAGTGCGACGCTGACAGCTCCAAACGGGATGGCGCAGCAAGCCTGCATCCGCGAGTCCATGCGAGAGGCCATTGCAAGTCGAATAACTGGCTCTTCATGAATGGTGTGCAGGATGTGCCTAAATCCTAGGTGTGGCAGCCGAATCAGATGCAATGACATTCATGTACATGTGCATGACAACATGCAGGCCATGGTTGCTGCCAGTCAGATCACCATTGCAGAGTGCCATGGCACCGGAACAGCCTTGGGAGATCCGATTGAAGTTGGTGCCCTGAGAGGGGTCATGGAACCTCGAGACACGCCGTTGCTCACCACAAGTGCAAAGTCCAATATTGGACATACAGAAGCATGCGCAGGAATGATCGGGCTTATCAAGTGTGTCAGCATGGTGTCACGGTCAACCGCGGACCCCAACTGCCACCTCAACTCACTGAACCCGCACTTGGATGTGGAAGGTTTTCCGTCTGTCTTTGAGACAGAATCCGTTGAGACCCGCCTCAACAGCAACTACGCCGGAGTGTCCTCCTTTGGCTTCAGCGGGACGAATGCTCGTGCAGACGTGTGGAGCCAGTGCAAGTCAGGTCCCAGGAAGGCCGGGGGTTCGAGGAGTGCTGGGGGTTTCTGGATTATAGTTACTTTTGAGACTGATCGCGCACTGCAGGCCAGTTCCCAGTTGGACATTTCCAAGGCGGATCAAGTGCATATGCGCTGCCCTGTCACGCTCGGCCTCATCGAAGCAAGAACTGGCGAACCGGTCACAGAATCCTTCAAGAAGCGCAGAGGATACAAGGCCCTCCCACACCTTGCACCGGGCAATAGCGAGTTTTGCCGGCTATGATTCCCGGGGTTGGAAGTGAGCTTTCTTTGTCCGGAGCTGCAGGCGGATGTCCTTCGTGATGAATGGGCTCCCTACGATATCTCGTCGCAGGTGTACACAGGAGGCTTCCGCTTCCGTCGTGCTACACTGCAGGCCTGGGGTTGAAGCTGAGTCCATCTGCCGATTTCTGCCGGGCCCTCTGTGTCTCGACTCGTACCAGGAGGAGGGCTTGGACTTGGACTTGGAATCGTCTGAACTCTACATCGTCGGATCCTGGAGCGGGTGGACGAAGATGGAGCGAATGGAGCGGAAGGGCTCGGGTCGCTGGGCCTCTAAACGCAGGGCAAGCCGTGTTTCAGAGTTCGCTGCCTTTTGTCTTGGGACCGCTGACCTCACTGAGGACGCTTCGTGGCACCAGTGATTCTGGGTGAAGCCCGGTACGAGATGTTCCGACTCTGCATAGACATGGACAGGTCCATGGAGATCTATCCCATCATCAAGGATTCCCCGTGTAAATCACCGGCATTCTTAGTCTGACTGTTGTTCCATTCTTGAGCTGTCGTGGTATTTCCGCTGCACTTCAGGATGCTTCTAGCAAAATCTGGATCGAGGGTCCAGATGCGAAGAGCGGCGGTCGCTACTGGCTGATCGACGGGCGCGAGCAGGAAATGCCGAGCGGGACGCTCTGCGAGGTTGACTTCCAGTGGCACCCAGAGATCAAAAGTATCTCCTGGAAGCAGGTGCGTGCGCCCAGAACTGGCATGTGTCAAGCGCAAGAGCTGTGCAAAGTCTGACCGTCAAGTGCTCACAGGTTGGTGCTGCCATCGACGACAGCTTGGCCGAGCCGTTCCTGCACAGCTACAGCTTGATTGGAAGCTTTACATCCGGGCAGTTTCAGGAGATGCAAAGCGTTCACAGCGGCATGTGGGAGGGTGGCTTCCGTCTGGGAGTCTCTGGCGAGGAAGATTTCCAAATTGCCAGAGTACCTTGCATTGAACAGGGAAGTCAAACGCCTTTATGCCGATTTTCTTTGTAGCTGCATAAGAATGGCTGTTGAAAACATCGCCGTGAGGGCACTCGTGGCCGATGCACTGTGACTCAGTTGAGGATGGTGATTCCAACCAGATGATCTACCCGGCAAAGAACGGAGCTTGTAGGACCACAGTTCCCGTTCGTGGGCCGGACAGCCTGGGACACGGCAAGTTCTGGCGCATTCATGGAATGCCCAACGAAGACATGAAAGTGATTTTGGAGGTGGTTCGGAGCTTAGTTGGGGTTGACCTTGGTCGCACAATGTGAACCTTTAGCAGACTGTCCTCTCAGGTCGAGGGACATGTGAAGATGACTGTGGCATCGGAGATCAGAGGCGACAAGACATGGGAAAGCGAGGATTCTTGGTCGCGCCATAGCTACTTCGCCTATGCCTCTTGGAGTGGCTGGGCCCGGGCCTGAGAGAGACGTCACTGACCTTGCTCGTTGTTCGACACCATCCTATCCCAGAGTTTCGAACCTCGTTTCAGACCTCCACAGGTCCCAGTGCAAATGGTGGCGGATCCGTCTGAGCCTGGAGTTTTCAGAGCCTATGGTCGAATGCGGGGGACATTCTCTCCACAGTACAATGCCTTCGTGGAGCAGTTCTATGTAATCATCGATGAGGATTTCAATCAGTCATTGTATCCTGAGTTGGGAAATGCCCAGCCCTTTGAATTTATAGTTGAGGGGCCCGGTTCTAATCGATCGGCGGCATGCTGGCTCATTCGGAGCTCGAAGCCGGACTCGAGGTTTGAAGTCGTTGTGGACTTAACAGCAGATGATCGACGGCGAAGAGTTTTCTGGACATGGTTCGAGGATGCACGCTTCTTAGAGTCTTAGAGCCCGAAAGGCTTGCTTTAATGTGCAGTGTTGCTTTTTCGGGAGACCACTTGCAGCTCGAAGAGCTTCTTCTGATGGGCGACGCCATTCTCTCAAATGTTGCGGAGATGCATCTTCCAGAAATGCGCGTCCGAAGATGACTGTTCACGGCTAGCCGCTAGCCAACTGCAGGTACTGCCATACTTACCAGTTCAGCATAAATTTCAAAATCAGTTGAAGCTAAAGTGATTGTCTGAATATCTCGTATGGGCTTTACAGTATAGTATGCCTCCGCAGAAGCTCCGCGATGGCTCGGCGCGAGTGCTTTCGCTAAACTTGTTGTGTTGCCTAGCTTGCAGAACTACGGGGTGTCCTTCGTTTGAGAGGGGTCGTGTTGTGGGGCGTCCTCCTCCGGGCTTCGTCTTTCAGGGAACTATAGTCTTAAGGGATATTTGAGAGTTGGAAGAGGGGTTGGGTCGGACTTGTGCTTGAGGATTTCGGGATTGGCACCAAACTCTCACAAATCATCACAACTAGAGAGATTCCATGCTTTAAGAAGAGCGTCGAATCTAATTTCTAGATCCAATATTAATTAATTATTTCCGGCAAACAGTGGCAAAGATTCATATGAGAAATATAATAAATAAGATAATTACTATAAATATATATATATATATATATATCTGAATATTATAATTTTAAGAAAAAGAAATAATTTTAATTATGTATAAATTCGAATAAATTATTATCGGATTTAATATGTTGTCGAAAAAATAAGAATAAGATGCGAAGAAAAAATAATATATTTTCATATAATTAAAGAATTATTTATTTAGAAAAAATTGAAGAAATTTAATATCATTCGCTTATATTCCTAATTAATGATTTATTATTGAAGCTCTATTATAATATTTAAATCTTTTGAAATTATTTTTTATTCTTTTGATTTCTTAGGTGAAATTAGGAATGATTAAATGAAAGAAATTGAAATGTTGAATTATAG